GCAAAGTCTGTCTATGGATAAGTCACAGCAAGTCTGACCACCACTCCATGACTTTGTCTATGGCATTGACCAAAGAGCTATCACTCCAGCTGAAAAACTCTATTATCTGAAGAAGTATGTTGGTGGCCCAGCACGCCAGGTGCTAGATGGCACCTTCTTCCGAAACGATGATGAAGCCTACCAGGATGCCTGGAACAAGCTCACTCGTCGCTTTGGCCAGCCATTTGCCATTCAGAGAGCATTCAGAGAGAAGCTCACCAATTGGCCAAGGATACAAGAGGGACTCAGAAACTTCTGAATGCCTGTCAAGATGCCATGCCTCATGTCAAGGGTCTCGACATATTAAATGACTGCGAGGAGAACCAGAAGCTTGTCCAAAAATAAGGCTGACGGCTGAACATAAATAAAGGCTTCTGAAACATCTGTAAGCTTCAGCATTGTCTGGCTGGGGTTTGCTATATTTATAGCAAATGGTTATACAGTTAGATTTGACTGGAAATGTTCTGCTCTTTGAGGGAGCTCTCAAAGAATCACAGCTGGACATAACAAACATGAACATTAGATCTTAGTTAAATCAATAATAATAATAATAATAATAATAATAATAATAATATAGCTCATAAAGATGAGGTTGGGGTGGTGGTTTTGGCATGAGTGCATCAGCATAGTAACAGTGAGAAGTGTCAGTGTTACAATGGCAACGCTTTACACCTGCGTGAATGTGATTGGATGTTTCTTGTCAACAGCTGTGAATGAGGCAGTGATCGTGAATCATGAATGGAACAGCTGTTCTGACTGCACTAACGCTATGCTTTATACATATATCAATATTCTGTTGTCTTTCTTTTCTTTTCTTTTTTTTCTTTTACAACACAGCATTTGAAGAAGATGAGCTGAAAATGAACCAAGAATTACTCTTTTCTTTTCTTCCTCAGGGGTCAAAGTGTCGAAACGTAACAGCTGTTAAAATGATAGTCTTAATCTTTTAATCTCAATCTTGATAAAAAAAAATCCTAATTAGGTGTTTTCACACACACAGGGTGAGTCAACTGACAGCAGGTTTCTACAGCTTAGTTGTACTCATAAAATTATTGCTGTGTCATTTATTGATTTTTTTTTGTTGGAGCTATCTAAAAATAAAGCTGGTGTTGCGAACACTGCGACCCAAAGCTTAAATTCTGCACCTCCACATATTAAACTGCCTGTCCGACCCTACCTTGCTGTAATTAGGATTTGCTCTGCAATAGCATTTTTCTGTTTCTAAAGACAGCTAAAGCAAAGGCCAAATAGTATGTCATACTAAGTGCACTCAGCAGAACACTAAAACCATAAACCATAGCTGATTCCCTTAAGATAAAAGCTGCTACAGAAGAGACAGAGACACAAGAGTGTTTTCACACCATAGGTTGCATGCACACCAAACAACTAAAGTGAGCAGTAAAAAGCAGTGTTAAGATTTCCATTCAGCAGACAGATTACTTTCCTGTAGTGGTAGCATAGCTCACCCCAGTCTGAAGTTTGCCCGGGCGCAGATTGCTGAAGGGAAAGACAATGACCAGGAACTTCTCCAGAGTCAGGTAGGTCAGGAGGAGAACAGACACCTGAGGAAAAACACTCATTATTATTCTTAAAGGAGCATGTTTTAACTCGTAAACTGAGCCAACCATTTTCCAGAGCAGCACACACCTTTAGATCAATTTCCCTCCTTTCAGACAGGCATCGTGTTTGGCTTGTAACAATATGACTTATAGTTTTCACAGCAACATCAATCTGCTACACTTCATTGTGTACTAATGCAGTCTCAAGCAAGGACTGACCTTGTTGGTGCATTCAAGTGCTTTTGTTAAAGCCATTTTAGGCTTTTGAGAGTCAATCTTTTCACTGCACAAAACTTTGTACAGATTAACATTACCTTCAAAACAAAATACATGTTTGTTTACTGATTTTCTTCTCTGATTTTCCAACAACTTAGCTTGTGAATTAAATTTGTATTGCCGTATACATTATTTGTTGTCAATATGACAAAAACATTTGTATGGTTCATATATTATTATTCATATATTATACATATATTCATCAATTGGATAAAGGATTCCGCTGATTTCTGTGCACAAATATCCTCAAAAGTCTGTATGTGACATCAGAAGTCAGTTAAGGATGCACCAATTCACCAAACATAAGAAATCTACATTAAGGTTGTCTTGTGAAGTAAAGATTACAATCTGGGTTTCTCACCAAGGCATGTGTGTCCCTGAAGTCTAACAAATATGTTGAGTGCATTTCCTTCCACATAAAACATTTTCAACACAGATTTTCATTATTTTAAATCGTGCACTGTTTATGTCCATGTCTTCTAACAAGCAGTCTTCTTTTGTTGGCACTGACATGATGTTGTTGCAGTACTTTATGGGTAACTGTCAATCAACAAAATACTGTGAAACCGGAATGTGGATTGTGTCACCCACATCCTTGTGTCTGTGCACAATACAAACAAAACAGGGACGCCACCATAAAACCATACATAGATAGATAACCTATTCAGTTGTCGTCCAGCATCACCTTAATAAAATACCCATTTGAGATTGAGCTCAACAAAGTGAGGTTCACAGTTTCTAACTTTGGGAAAAAGAGTCCTTGGATACCCTGATTTGAGGTATTGGGAGAGAAAAAGCCAGGTTGATGCCTCCATCTGTCAGGCAGAAAACACCATCACCAGTAAAACAGATTTACTGAGAATAAATAGTGATATGCAAAGAGTTACATTTAGCCATTTAGGCTCTGAAAGTGTCACTCCCTCTAGGCAGAAGCTCTATGAGCAGAAATGTATGATAATCAAATTCTCACTTGGGAAAACTAGAAAGAGAGCCTATAAAGCAGCTGGATGCTGGGCTGCATTACCAGCAGTGGCTGATGGGAACAGTGAAAAGGCAGAATCAGCAGAACTAGAGTGTGTAAGTGCAGCTGTCAGCTTGAAAAGAAAATAGCTACAGTGTATTGTGTGTCACCGGTTATGTTCATATGCATATTTGTGTATGTGTGGTTGTGGGTGGGATGCTGATCTACGTTCAGTTACCTCTGAGGAAAGCATGGCCAGGAATCCAATGGTCCGACACTCCACGCTCTCCATCCAAAGCAGGGCGTTACGATTGTACTGCCCGCGGAATTTCACATCAAACACTCCAACGAAAAACAGATACACTCCCATGAGGCAGTCTGCACCTGAACGATAAGAGTTGACGACATACATGAATCTAGAGGTGCTCTGTGTGGGTTAGCTGGAGAAGTCAGCTGCTGGCACTTCCTGTGGCCAGACCATAAATTTCTCATTAAAAGACAAACTACAGAAGATTATTTCTACCCTCCAGAGCAGGAAAGAGTAATCACTTGCATGGGATGTGGCTATGTGCAGTTGTGTCACTGGGTGGGT